AGTTCCATCAAGCAATACTTTGAACCATCTCCTGCTCTCTGTTTGCAGACATTCAGGCGAGATGGCAATGACCTGTTCATGAACCACAAGATCGGGCTGGTGGAGGCACTGTGTGGCTTCCAGTTCATGCTGAAACACTTAGATGGAAGACAGATCGTTGTCAAGTACCCTGCTGGCAAAGTCATTGAACCAGGTCAGCCCTCTTCATACTTAATCGGTTTCTGTTCTCTGCTTTTATTTTCCAGCAATCAACTGTTCCTGGATAACATGTATATGTTTATGGTAAAAGCTGTGATGGCATAGTTGCAGGACAAATGAGCGATTTTTATGCATCACAAAAAAAAATGTCGGGGGTTGCGAGATTCAACTCACTCGTGTGTTAGGTGTAAATATTTAATGGCGCTGTTTTTAACACATGTATGCAAGTGAAATGATCACACACTGGGTTGAGAGAATCACAACAAGAAGGCACATTTAGAAGATGCTGAGCAGCTCCAGTGATATTGGATTTGTGCACAGACAAGGACACAGTACTTGATAAATGAGGGGATAGTGGGGTCATCAGCATCAACATCCTTTGTTCTGAAAAGACCCCTTACACCCTTACACTTCTATTGTCCATTTATAAAGCATGTACACAGAACGTTGTGGAATCAACTATAATAAAGTGAGCTACATAAATAAATTGCTGCATCTTTTCCAGGCTCGGTGAGGGTGGTGCGAGGAGAGGGCATGCCACAGTACCGAAACCCTTTTGAGAAGGGAGATCTGTACATCAAGTTTGATGTCCAGTTTCCCGACAACAACTGGATCAGCCCTGAGAAACTTGTGGTAAGAACTGTTACTAATAATGAACGGTCTATCATCTTCTGGGATTATTTGGGTCATTGGCTGACTAATGCTTCATACTGTACCAATGTTGAAAATGTTTTATACAACGTTTTAAAAATGTATTTTAATATAGTATTTTTAAGAATGGGTCATATAACATCTATTTATTTAGTACTGTATATACATTTATAATTGTACAAAAAACTCTACTTTATACAAGTGATTTCCATTCAGGGATTAGAGCTGTTCTGGTCATAAATGGGTTACTTATTGGGCACTTGCCTTCACACGGCAACACTTCCTCTTCTCCTTGAAGATGTTGCACTCTGAATAGAGTTGATTTTTATCTTCCTCCATAAACTAAATATATGCTGTAGCACTGCACTCTTGGCCCGACAACCGTTTGACTCTGCGGCGTGGTCAGAAAACATAATGAGGCTAAAGGCTCTTAAATCTGCATTATGATGAATGTTTTCCACGTGTAGGAGCTGGAAGACATGCTGCCCTCGCGATCAGAGCCTCCCATCATCACTGGAGACACAGAGGAGGTGGACCTGCAGGATTACGATGTGAGCCAGAGCTCGACGTCGGGAAGCCGCAGAGAGGCCTACAACGACAGCTCCGATGAAGAGGGTGGCCACCACGGGCCAGGGGTGCAGTGCGCCCACCAGTAGTCTCATACTCCCACACATGCACACACATATGACCCACGTTCTGCTTGGGGAGAAAATGTACGAGTTGCAGAGTAAACAAGGATGTAGGTCAGACTGAAAAGGCTTGGTAATTCCTCAGACACAGATCAAGTAGACATTATTGAATCACGGCACCTGGAACTGTTGATTCAATGTTATTGACCTGTGTGCTGGGATTGTCTTGATCTTTGCCTGAGGAACTCACACTGGGGCAGCCAAAGACTCAACACAGCACCTGAAACACATTTAGACACTTTAAACAGTAACTTCAGGTAGAAGTCATTATGTATTTAAGATGTATCCAAACAATTGGGTGCCCCAGTGAATGCCATGTGGGACTATGATCTGGTGTTCACTCCTCGGTCACCCCTGTTGAAGTCCATTCCCCTCTCCACTAATGGGAACTCCAGATCAATCAAAGAAAGGAACGTTTCTTGTTTGCTGAGTGTGTGACTTGCATTTTGTTTTCATAGTATTTACAATAATTAATTTAAAAACTAACCGATGTGCATACACAAAGCAGCTGAGCAATGTGACGTGCAGATCCTTGGACTCGTGTATTCATCGATTCATCCACTCGGCGCCATTCGTAGGATTTGTTTCAGATTTTTACAGCTTTGTTTTCTTTGTAGGTTTTTACTCATTTTTTTTTTTGTCTTTACATTTTAATTCAAACAGAAAATTGGGTATTGTGTATATCATTGAACTGGTTGTTGGTAAGCTTCATCAGCTGCTGTATTCAAAACTGTGTGATTTTTAAAAAAAGAAAAATGACAAGAGAGATGAGAAATGTATAGCCCGTATCTGTGCTGAGACCATGTGCATGTAAAAAGCTTTGGTTCCTGCACTTATAAAACATCAAATAAAGCAGCACACTTCTTTAAAAAATGTCTATGAAGTTGTTGAATAAATTGTTGAAATATCATGTAGTGTGTGTGTGTGGTACCTTTTTTATAAATCACCAAAATAATGTTAGTAGTTTTGTCTTCTTCTGTCTTCACCTAAACACAATAGGGATACATAGAATTATGTGGTGCTCAGAGCACTAAAACATTACACAATGGAAAAGAATCGGCAGTTTCTTTCCAGAAACAATGCGTCAGTGTCCAGAGCTAATCCACAGATAAGATCAGCACTGATTACCAACTGTTTTCAATAATGACTGTTGACCTCATACCACCTGACCCGAATGCCTTGATGCTCATTTTAGATCTGTATACTCCCTAGAAAGGTTCCATCATCAGTCAGTCATCCTAGAAAAGTGAATGAGATCACACATCCTCTATTCATTCCCATTAAATCCAAACACAATATGCTGTAATGGCTTTGGTTGATGGCAGGCATTGGAGAGTTAGAAAATCACGTCACCATGTCAGTTGAAATTTCCTCTTTGCCTTTAAGTTTTATTTGAAGTCCATGTTAAATTTACTTAGGTTAAAAGTGCAAGTGTTTCTTCACCTGCCTGATATGGTTTCTACTAGTCATACAGGTAGTTTGGTTTAATTGCCCTGGTAATTGTATGTTTTTTAAAATATATAAATTGTATTGTCTATTTTATATTTGCAGGCAAGAGTACACCAATCAGCTGAGGGTGAGGGTTACAACCTTTAATTTTAAAAGTTTTCTCATAAACATTTGCAAAATCAAGAGACTGGAAAGCTCTAGATCAATAAGGAGTAACCCCTCTCTGAGGGAGAGAGAGACAGGGTCTGTATTCATTCAGAGCAAAGAGTTTACTCTTATGAGCTGCTGAGCTGACCATATGGTTGTGTGCTAGATAACACTGTCTGCAGTGGCTGGATGAGAGGTGACCAGTCTGTGAATGTGAAATAAAACATTAATATGAGCATGAAAAGGGAGTCTACATGAATTAAAAGGAATTACGTTCAAAGTGACATAAATAAAATACATTCAAATTGAATTAAATGCATGTTACATGAAATTAAATGATGTAATTAGTAATAATTATTTAATCGCAAAGTAATTTATTTTTAAAAATGTTATGGAACATTAATATTACCGGTTATATCAGCATTACCTTTGCACTACCCCCTCATTAGTCTAATATTGATATTGCACATATTGTACACATTTTTATTTTGATATACTCCTATTAAGTCCAATTTAGTTTCCCTTTTTATTTCTTCCGTAAGTGTTATTTTTATATAACCCTATACTATACTATATTGTGTTAAAGTGTTTATTGTTTTTCCCCATAAACTAACCCTAAAATTTACTTTAGCGCTCAAAATTACTTGTATATGGCGCCAGAAAATGTTTAATATTTAATAAACAATTGGCATTTTGAGCCTCCAAGTGGGCACGATGAGTCCGACAGCAGGGTTAATAAACCGTGAGCAAGGATTTGTAAACCGGGAGTGCAGATTTACCCATGATGCTTTCCTCCCCCGGCCGACCACAGGGCTGCTCCGTATTAATGCAACCGACCATCATTATGACATCATCGACACAAGGCTGAAATCCCTGTTCATGAACGCCTATTTCCTCCGTTGATAACACCGGCGCCGTGGCTTAGTTGGCTTCACAAGCGCCTGTCTAACGTAAACAGGAGACTCCTGGGTTCGAATCCCAGCGGTGCCTTTTAAGTCTCCACTGTCCCATTACTTCCAGTTATATGTTCCTCCGCTCTCATTAAATTTCCATATATGGTCAAATTAAAGCTGGACCAGTCTATTTCTTTTCTACCTTTAGAAACGTGCTCCATCGTGCTCCATGGCCTGTGTGAAAATGCGGAAATATACTGTTAACTGCAGATTCACAATGTCAGAGACTGGTTGCAGTACATCCATCTGACCACATGGGGGCGGCAGTGAAACAGCCTACAGAGCCAAGACTCAGTCAGGCTACAATGGAGGGATTGGGAGAAGAAAATCACGAAGCGACCGTGTCTTGGACGTACTCTTCATTTCAATAAGCAAACAGAGTCTGTGGTGTAAAATATACTTCAGGACGATGTCTGCAGTTTGTAACCAACTGTTTGTTACATCCACTCCGGGAGCCAGGAGAGAAGAAGACCTTTAAACACAGAATAATATGGGCCACTTTGTCCTGTTAAGATGCGGCAAGCCAAACACAGAGTGGGCCACAATTACAGCGGAAGTGAGACCGCTTTGTCTTCAAAATAAGACCAGCAAAACGCATTTCAAGATTCAAGAGGTTTATTGTCATGTGTACAGAAACACAGTGGTTTATACGTACAATGAAAAGCAAATATTACAAATGTATTTCCACCTGTCCACAAAGACTGAGAGCTGTACATCTCCCTCTACATTATTTGGTGGTTTATATTTGTAATTCATGTTTATCAGTTATTAGTGACTTTTTTCCACTTTGAAACCAAGTTTTTGTGTGGATCAGACGTTCAAATTAGCCAACATCCTCTCTGAGTGAACAAAAAAACTCCGTGAACATTTGAGGCATATAAACACATGTGTAGATGACCATTTTTGAGTGCATACAGTATTACCTGAACATGGGTTTCCAACAAGTATGCCCTCAAAAACGCAAATGTGTAAATGTTTGCCGTCGCTCAAAATGCCCACGCTTAAACATGGCTCTTATTTTGAAGGCGGTGACCGGAAGCGGCGAGGTTCGCTGTCGCTAACTTGCCCCTGGTTTCTTGGCTCGCTGCAAAGGACACAATGCCTTTCCACAGTGAGGACCTTTCGGCGTGCGCGGCGTGTCTGAGCTGAAAACAGATGCGGGAGCTTCGCTGGACGACCCAGATGTCGAGCAGACCGCGGAGATCGGGTCCCAGATAAGAGCAGAAGTCCCCCGCAGGGACCATGGGACTGCCGGAGCTGCTGCTCGGACTGCTGTGGTTCCGCTCCGCTCTGCTCTGCGCAGGTGAGGAACAACAATGCATCCACACTGCTGTAATGTTGGGATGGATATCTGTGCACACAGTTCGTGTATCTGTGCTGGGAGTCGTGCAGGAGATCCAAACCCCTCAAGGAAATCCTCAGTGAATGGACTGACTGTGCTGGTGGTCGTTTTCCTGTTTATCAGCATCACTGGGGGTCTTGCGGTTGACAAAGCCTCTGATATCACTGACTGCCACGGCACAGCACTCACAGAAAAGCTGCTGTTCACACCCGAGCAGGAGTGGATGTTGTTTCTCTCGCTGCTCTCTCCTGTGTCACTGTGATGAAGTGATATGACGGAGGAGGACAGAGTGTTTTCATTGTTGTGATGGGATGGAGTGAGAGGATGAGGGTATCACTGTGCAGGAACCTGCGGGGGTATTGATCTGTGGTGGGTAAACGATCAGGGGTAGTGTGGAAACATGGATGCTCTTTCACAAATGTGATGCTGCTATCAGCATTACATCACTGCTCCTCTGCAGCCAGTCAGTCTCTCTCTCTCTCTC